TTTTCCTTTAAATATGTATCTTCACAAAATTTGGCATGGGTTATTGTCTAAAGCTATAATGCAATCTCTGAAGAAATTTAGAAATTGTTCAGATCGGATCGCTATAGTAAATAGCTGCCATGCAAACTAAACGATCGGAATAAAGTTCTTTTATTCTTTTGGAATATTTTGTATTTGTGAAGGGAATTATAGCTTCGGTGCAACGGAAGTTAACTTTTTTTCTTGTTTAATACAAATTTAACTTAAGAGATTATATCCACTTATGAAATAAAAAAAACCATTTATATTTGGCATATACATATATATCGATATATACATATATTTAAGATTATTCTCTAAATTTTAAGTTTATCTGGCTAATATAATAGTTTCCAAAATAAGAGCGTACTTGTAATCGTAGAAATTTTTGAAATTAGTGTAATCGGTTCCCAAAAAATTAGATGCATTTTTCTTGAAACATTGTTGGCAGAGTCGGTGAGGAAAATTCTTACGAAACGGTTGGACCGATCGACTTGAAATTTTCATATGACTTTTCTACATATATAAAAATTTCAATTTAATTTTAACAAAAATATATTCTTTTTTTTTGGGGGGGAAGTTGCTATTTTGTCAAAAATCAAATGTTTGACTAATACGTCGATCATTACCTGTATTTATCTATAGTATTAATAATTTTTTTAGTTTTTGGATGTGAGCTAATTTGAAGCAGAAAAATCTTCCTCACAGCCAGACACTTTTTAGGGAGTAATCCTGGAAGTCAGTTCCGAGATCAAGGGTATAAAAATTTTTTCAAAATGAATCCCAAATTATTAAAGTAAATTCAATCCTGTAAACGCACTTTTTTACATTTATTAAATATATTGCATTTTCAAATAATAAATTTACTATTTCTTTATTGCGTCTCATTTTTAAGACCGGTTTATAAATTTCATATTAAATATATATTAATTTTAATATAATCCCTCCGTCATACATTTAAATAAGTTTCCACCCTTCTACAAAACCCGCTTAAATGTGAATAATAAATGAGGCCTTTCTGGAACGTCAATGGAAATGAAGGCATAACCCGCGTAAAACAGCAAAGCAAACAGCATTCAGTTATGTATGGCATGCGTGTATAACACTTCCACTTCAACACTTGTGAATATAATTTACTGCATTCAAATGTATGCAAATATTTACAATATATAAATGAGCTTGTGTAACACACGCTCTAAAAGCCTGAAGGGAATTGCTTTTGTGTTTGCCGACGTACACTTATTTGTTAAGGGTGGGTACCTAAAACTATGCTAAAACTGGGTTAATTTTGTAGCTGAAAACTAAAAGTAATAATGTGCAACGGTGCAGTGAATTTGTTTCAGATCACAATCATATTTGATCGGCACACTATACCGATTCAAATTGAAAAGGTAATTTACAGAGAAAGAGAGAGAGAGAGAGAGAGAGATATGAACAGCCTGAAAGTGGGCGTTGCTACGTCCATTGAGCAATTTTTAAAACCCTTACGGTTGGATTAAAGTTCTTGACATTTTTCTGTAGAGCGGTAACGTGGTTTTGATAGTTTTGAACATAACCGTTGTATTAAATGGTAAAATGGTTGCGTTTTTACTCTGCATGCAGAAATGCTACATAGAAATGTACTCAGTATGATCGGTTGCTAAAGCTTTAGGAATTTTAGAGGTATTTATATTAAGTCTTTTAGAGGTCGAGGTCACGCCACTTTTTAAAAATATGTCTTTCCTTACCGTGATTCTGTAGTAAACTGAAGTTTTGTAGCTTAAGTTATGGCTTAGTTATAGACTTTATTTTTGGGGCGCGTGACAGCAATTCACAATATCAACCTCTTCAAAGAGCCAGGAACATATGTTCCAAATTTTTTCTAGAGAACTCAAATTTTATCGAAGTTATCGCTAACCAGATTGAACGCGTGAGGTTGGACTAACAGACAAACATCCGGAAATCAATTCCTTTAGCCATTCTAATTATTTCTGCTACATATATCTTATATCTTTCTCAGTTTACCGTTAAAAAAATAACAATACTTTCTGCAACATGTTGCAAAGGTAAACAAAATAATGTAATGCCCTGTATCTACTTATACCTTCAATATTATAAAATGTACCTATCAGACCTTTTATGAATAAAATTCAATAAGAAGACTACAATAATAATGCTTTAAAATTGGTGTAATCCACTGCAACATATACAGATTTATCATTTGTATCAGATAACGGTTATACTGCGTGTCATTTGTACAACAGTCATTCAAGTGGGATTTTCTGACGGATTATATACATGATATTTATACTCGGTTTTAACATAGTGCAATCGCGTTCTGAAGAGCAGAACAAATACGTGTCGTATATATACCAAATACTATATATTTATATACTCGTATGTGCATAGTATGTGTAAGGCCGCATGCATATTTATATAATATTAAGCGTGGTAACATTTTTCCCAATTATTGCCAAAAGGGTTACATTTGCAATAAATTATTTATGAAGCGCTGAACTATGTGATTGCTCAGCATTAAATAATTTCCAATATAAAGCGTTTCAATGTTATTACGGTAGAAAGAAATATATATATATTGTAGATGCTGTTGCCATACAATATATTGCTAATTTTATAATAGCAATTCGTTTTATTTATTTTTATTACCTTAACTGACCTAAAATTGTCTAACGAATGGCTGGTTTTGACAAATACATTAGCTATCAAGTAAGCAGCTTTCTTCAGCACCATTTTTAATGACTTAAAAATAGTACCTTGAAAATCTATCGATCGATGAAGAGGAAACAAATTCGAAGAGCCTTTTAACAATCAAGCTTGCATATGTTTACATTTAAATATCTAATATGGTACTTCCCTCAAACTATACCTCAGATAAGCTCCTCACAGGCTTGCCATTAATTAATCAAATGCATCATATCATGTGTTCAAAATTTACACGGAATTGTTCACATAAACTGCGCACAAACCGAGTCCATAGAATTAGTTTATTTCGTGTGAAGTTTGAAATCCATTTATCAATTATTGCTTGTTTACGACGAAAAAAGTTTGTCTAGAGATTTTTACCAAGAAAAATAATTCGACAACGTGTTTGTTTGAAATTTTGTGTTTCCAATAGAATGGCGGCTACGAAATCATTTAAAATGTTTTAGAAGTGTTTTAGGGAGTTTAGTTTATTACAAACACAAATATTTGGGTCGCACAAAGCATTCAGTGATGGCCAAGAAGTCATCTAACTCTTGCGAGTCATCCATCCACCTCTGTTAACGACGATAACATGGAAAAAGTTCGAGCAACAGTGCTTGAAAATCTTCGTGTTGGCAGCAAAGAGATGTCAAATGATTTCCACATCTCTTATGGATTGACTCATTGGGTATGATGCATGCCAGAGGTATATACAAAGATCTGAATCTGAATCTTTTGCAAAACGTTCGAGTAGATGTGTGACGTCGAGTAGAGGTCGCAAAAGAGTTGCAGCAGTTAAAACATTTGATACCAACGTCCATACACAAAGGATCATAGTGATTTTATGTACAGTGTTATTGAGCTTTAAGTTGACATCGAAATTACTATCGAGAATTCAGACTAGGATTTGAATTCGTCTACCAAAATTATTTAGTAAGGTAATAGTGGGAGTTTAAAAAAGAGTATAATAGGCTATTTAGACTGCCAATTGAGTAAATTGTATACAATACTAAATATATTTCGGCATTTTCAATTCATTCAAACAATATGATACACAGAGACCGAGGAAAAATCAACACGCTGTGAAGTTTTCATAAACAACGATGCTGAATATAATTAGCAACAACTACCAGCAGAAGTAATGAAAGCGCTCCAACAAACAAAAGAACTTTTGCCAATTAACAGCTGCCAGTGTGAAATTGTGCGACACGTGGTATACGTGATTTTTTAAAATCGTTGAAGTGCAGAAATTACTTTTACGCAAAGCAGGCTTGAGTAAGAAACCAACGATTACTTTTATAAACTTTTTGCAAGCAAAAACCAAGTGGCATGCTGTAACTGATTTATTGAGTTTGTTTTTGTGATATGAATATTAATTTTGAAAATTTTGATGAAATTTTTTATATAAAAGAGTTAAAAAATTTAAAAGGAAATCCTTGGCTAGCTATGATAACGAATAATATGTTTTTTTAACGTACAAACTTTACTATTAAAAAGATCACTAAGCTGTTGTTCGAGAGGCTTTTGAATTAGTTGAGGGGTTCCTTAATTGGGTAATGTGGTCATTAGTAAAAATATATTATCCTTCATAACTTAACTAATCCCTTCTAAATGAGTAAGGGACATTTCTGAAAGTGATAATCGTTACTGAAAAAAATATACAATAATACATTTACTGTAACCACCTCTACCGATTCTTTTTATGATCACTTATTTTGTCGATTATAAAGTTAACATATTGTTATATTTAAAATAAAAATTACGAATTTATTATTAAATAAAAAAAGCAACGATAATGCTTCGCGCAATACTTCAATTAATATAACTGACATACACACAAAAATATTAATAAAATATTATATTAAAAATATTATTATTTTTACTTTTTATTATATGTTTAAATTGTATTATATTTGTATAATATATAGTTTTTTATATAAAAATAATATTTATTGATAAATAATATAATTTTTTTATAAAAAGTGCATTGTAGCAAGACTATTTAAAAAACGTATTAATTAAGTGTTATGTGTGTATTGAACCCAAACAATTGTGCCACTTACAATGCAGTGCCAACCAAATGCTTATTCAAATACATACTTATATAAATCCACCGTGCAACAACTATGCAATGAAAAGTTTTTAAAGTTTCCCACAAATATTTATTAACAAAACTGAGTAACCCTCAAAAACACGAGCCCAGTTACACATGCACACAAGCACAGAGTTTAAAAATTCAAAATTTGTTTTTCGCTTAATTATCTAAGCTTAGACATAAACGCTAAACTTGCGATACGCACCAGTTGACTTGCTGCACCGTTGTTGTGACGATATTTGTTGTTTTCGCTTTTCCTTTTCGCTTTTTTAATGCACGCTACTCACACAAGCGTGTAATGCAGTGTAAAGTGCCAAATTATGTAGAGTGGTCGACGTTTTAATAGCACTCCAGCGCAACGCTCAAAACGCCGACAAACAATTGAGCAATACGCTTTGCTGTCGAGCTGGTTGCTGGGTAAATTTTTGTTGCTGTTTTTGTTTTTTAACGTTTGTAACTACTTTCGAATTACACTGTTACTCTGCGTTCGCTTGGATTGTGTTCTTTTCTTTTGCACGACAACACACGCGCAATTGCGCTCTACATTCGCTTTCAGTAGTTGTTGTTACAATTTTACCTTTATGTGGTTGTTGTTATTATTTTTTCCTTCCCCTTTAGCTGCTAATTATGGCAATAATGCGTTTGTTACATTTATGAGATACATATATATGAATACGCATAAGTATATATGTACTTAGGCGTATATGCTGGCGTTCTCATGCCAACACGGCGTATGAGTGATTTTTGCGCTTAGGCGATTTTAGAAAACCACTCATACCACGTGTCGCACCAAATCGTGCTGGCAGCTAGCAATTAAATAAAATTCTTTTGTTTCGTTACTTTCAAAAATGGCTGAATATCTTATGTACATATGTATGTGTATTGGTGTGTTTTATGTTCAAGCGATATTTTGTTTGCTCTTTTCGCAACATGAAAATCTCATACCTTATGAAAAATAAAAAAAAATTACGCCACGTATTGAGTGCAATACCGGCTTAACTCCATCCAAAATCTAATTTCTCCTTAATAATAAGCAATTTCGGTCCCAATTCGATATTTTTACGTAATTTGTAGCACTTAGAATGTGCTAAAAAGTTTATCTGCGAGAATGTTAATTATATTTCACTACATCTCTTTTCTAAACCAAAATTTTTTATTTTATGAAAGAATCGAATTGATAATGAAAAAAAAAATATTATGCTATTTAAAGCGGAAATATAATTTTTGAATGAGGTAAACCGCTATTGTCCTTTAAACCTTTTGCACGACGGCATTATTTTTTTATAAAGTATCAGATTTCTCGCTTTAGTTTACTGTAAACGTAATTGAATCTAGATAATATTTTTATGCCAGAAAAATTGTAATTGCTGTTTGAAGAACAATCTTTTTACTTTATAAAGCAACATTCATTAATTTTTTTATACTTTTTTTAACCATATATTGTTTATAATGAGTAGGGTATTAAAATTTTTACTCCCTTAAAGATGAACCCTAATACACCGACAAAGCCAAAAGAGCTCATCGCAAATATATGAAGGCGACTAATTTTGTTTCCTATTACCACCATTCAATTGAATGACAGAGGATCCAAATCAAAAGTTTTTTGACCTGAGGATTAGGTCTCATAATAACTGGAATACATACATGCGATACACTGCACTCGCAAAAAATCTACGCTCAAACTGAAGTTAGGTCTAAAATGCCGAAATAATTTTCCTTTCGGAAAAATTCTCACCGCATGGATGTCCATTGGCAATGATCGCTTAGAGGCCCTACAACAAGGCACGACGAACGTTGATCAAAACAAGAATTTCCTTGGACTTCTTGATATCCACTCTTCGCCTCAACCTCACCAAGATCCAGCGAATCTCAGGCAACCAATATTTTAAGTTCAAAACATTCATATCAGTAAATATTTGGTGTATGTTAAGTGTTGTGAAAAATTGTTGCTGCTTTCTCTAGACTGAGTTAAACAGAAGTCAAATGGATCTCTTGGGAATCGATAATTCGACGAAAGAGATGAGAGAGCGGCAGATGCCTGCAAACAAACAGTCAAGCGAGTTAGATTCAAGTTTCAGTTGAAACAAGTTAGGCAGTTTCTATATCTAGAAACTAATGTTTGATATAAATTTGAGCTTAGAGTAAACACTCAAATGTTATATATTGATTGAAAAGGAGATAAAGGTAGGTATGGATGGATTTCGCCCATTTTGGATTGCAAACTGCACTATGTTTAAATAAGATTCGCAATTATTAGTTTCAAAGCAAATATCTAATTCTCTGAATTATATTTCTCCACCGCAAAGACGAAGTTCATATATTTATATTTTTATATAAGACCGTGAAAACTACCGCCCAATTTTGACTTTCTTTTTAGAAGTTTATATTTTTTCTTTTTCTTATTTCTAGGGTATTTGCAAGTTTAAGAAAAATATGACGTAGGTAATGAGCCATATAAAATGCACATACAGCATATATATATATATGTATATTAGGGTGTCCGTTATTTACGAAATTTATTATTTTTCACGAGACGCTCCCTAAACTTTTAGTTTTCCATATAAAAAAAAGATATCCGACCATAATAAGCCCTTATGATAAACCTTGCCCCAAACAATTAAAAGTTATGCATCAAGTACACTAACAGTAACATAGAATTTATAAGGCACTTGTATAAATGCTCAAGTCATTTGATGTAAGACTTTAACTGAGTATAACTTTTAAAGCAATGCTTGTATGAAAAAAATTTGTAAGATCTTTTTTATAGAGCAATAAATTTGGTATTAGGATATCAATAATAAATAACTGAATTTTACGAAAAAAATTTTAAATTTACTGTAAAATTTCGAAAATTCCAAAAATTACCCAGAGGTTAATTTTACAGGAGTAAGTTTATCGAAAAATTGTCAAGAACTTTTTTGTAGAACCATCAATTCTGTTAAAAAAAAAATATAATCGTAAAAAGTGGCAAAACTCCATATTATTTAAATGGGAAATGTATCGTGTTTGGGGCAAGGTCTATCATGAGAAATAAGGGCTTATTATGGTCTGATATTGTTTTTTAGATGGAAAACTAAAAGTTTATGTAGTTCTTGTGAAAAATAATCAATTTCGTAAATAACGGACACCTTAATGTATATCAGAATATTTATTGCTTCAATTACTTGTTAAAATATTTCAATGTATGTGAAAAAATAGCAGCCAGCAACGAAAAACTAATGAATAATAAAATTATTGACAGAAATGGTGTGCGTAAGTTGAGTCACAGTTAGATCAACAACAAAATACAAGCAGACGTAGTCAAGGACATCTGCGTGCAAATTACGCGCTTCATTTTCTACTCTACAGCATTTTTCTGATTCAAATCCGTAAGCTTGTTAGTTTTCTTTGTGTTGGCACACAGCAACCGCTTAATGCCCCTCATCCAACATTTTCAACACTTTCAAAAAGCCATTTACCGTTAAGCCTTAACTAACTAACTTTTCTGTTGGTCAAGCAAGTTTTTTTGCCTCGTATGTATTAACTTTCAGATGAGATTTTCACGGCTTTTCGTTAAATTGAGCTTAACACGAACACATATTTAGAAAAAAATTATTTTTAATGAACTTTTTATTAAATTTTTTAATACAAATTATTTTTAATTTCACTTTTCATTCACTTAGCTTTCGTTTTTGACCCATCTTCTTGGCATATTAAGTGGATTAACTTCACAATTTTGCCACCGTTGATTACACAACACCGAACTTCAGCTCACTGTCTCCACCTGTTTTCAAAATTTCAATTACAACAATAATAACAGGAAATGAGTAATAACAAAAACAACAAGTAGCAACATAAAATAAACTAGCACAAGAGAAAATTAAATCGCATACATAATACATAAGTATGTATGCACTATATATATATATATATATATACGTATATGTGTGCGTGCGTTGTGAAACAAATTTTATGCGAATTAGTATGTGCAGCAGGCGCTCAGCAGTTGTTAGGCGGCAACTGCGAGTATTGTGTAAGCAACTTTTCTTCGTGCAACCGCCAAGCTGCTTTTTGTTTTTGCGCCCGCATTCACCTTAGCATATGCAAAGTTACGACCAACTTTCTTAAATTGCCACAAAACTTACTGACAAATGTGAGAAACGCAGTAAACTTAGTCAGCGCATAAATAATTCGTCAGCGAACTGTCGCAGAAAAAAACATAAGTAAACACGCAACACTTTAAACTTTAATATACACTTTTTCAATTGAACTAAATGCTTACTTTCGTTTAAAGTGTCATAATAATATTTTATTTCAAGAAATTACTCAGCGATTAAATTTCTTCCTTACAAATCACTTTCAGTTGTTTGGCATAATTTTTGAATTCAAATTCAATTCAAACAAATTTATTATCTTTATGATAATACCGTTGCCGCTTTATATTTTCACGTTTCCTTGGCGTCTGCTACGTGTGAATGCTTAGGACGGACTGAAGGCATCGTGCCGTGGCAGCCTGTAAATATGAGTTCAGCTTTCTTGCTTTGACTGTAAGGATATTCACCACACTGCTTTCAATATGTATGCATGTACAAGTATTTATGGATATTTGTGTATGCATGTGAAAGTGAATTATTCTTTGAACTCCCAACAAACAAAAGCTTTCGAAAGTTTCAATATTATAAGCGTTGCTTCTAAGTATGCTTTCAAGTATTTTAATATCAACTTTATATATTACTCAAAATGTGAAAGTAAGAAGTAGAATAGGTGCAACCGAATGTTAAATACTCTTGCATTTACTCGTATGATTGTCATAATAATTTTTGATCACTTTATCGGCTGAATAAAGCCGCATTTGGATGTTAAATTACGTTTATTATGTTTTGTAAATCCTCTTAAAATATAATATATGGTTTTTTCCATAAACTCACAAACCAATAATTTCTGAATTCAATTCACACATACTATATTTTTTTATCGGTTTCAATTCTCATTCCGACAACTATCAGATTCTACAACACCCCTGAAATCAATTTTATGTATTACTCAAAACAGAATGTAAATGTATGAGAAATAAGACTTAAATACGTGTGATATGTAACAAAGTGTCAAACCATTACAGCCGCTGGAGGGTGACCACTTTTAACGCTTGGAATAATATTTTTTGTGTCTTTGGAAGATTTTGTCATTGATCGACATTGATTTGGTCGATATATATATTTCCCTCGGCATAATTTGCTGTTTTCTAAGGAGATTTTTGCGAAAAGTTTTAATGGCTGAGTTGATCCGAACCACGCGAGCATGACCACTTCTCTTTCTGCCATCAACTGTAGACGCGTGGAAAAACGATCGATAGCGATAAACCAACATTCTCGAAATATTAAAATTTTTGAAAAGCACATAAATGTTACTTGCGCTATTTCCACACTTATATAAAGCAATCGACAAAATACGATTTACTTTAGCGCTCTCCACTCCATTGTTAATAAGCGTAAGCAAACACTGAACTGAATTTAATATATAAGAGTAGACACTGCATACAAATTATAATAAAAAATAACGACACTTTCTGTGAATTAGTCCTCGTTGTATGCATTGTAAACGTTGTAATAGCATTTAAGGCAATACCAAGTACATATATTATTTATAGGGTCTTCGCAGGGTCTTTATAGGATCACTTGCAAACTTAATATATCCTGTTCAGAGTATACAGATGTGGCCCTTCCACCCTGACCGATTTATTCTAAGTTATATGCTTATCTTAGGTTTTACACTGTACTACAAAATAATTTTAGATTTTACTCCGTCTGTGATCTGAACTCATAACGAAGGCAGTTTGCAAATAAAAGTTGCTTGGGTATAAAGTAGAGCTTGCATTTACTAAGCGGTGAGATTGAGTAGTTGTCTTTGACTAATTTTCAGAGCAAACCGGAAGGAAATGAATTGTTAAGGACATGAAAGAGAGTAATTTCAAAGAAGAGAATTTAAATTAAAATCGCTCTAAGAATATGCAGTTGTTGTATAATGCAACTGATTTGACAGTCTTTTGTTGACAAATGTACTTAAAACTAACTATTAAACCAAACCACGGACCCCAACATACAATATATTATTACTTACCTAAAATACCATGGCTGTTTGGAGAGTATTACCGCTATAAAAACAAACAGTGTTAATGCCTTATACACTTTAGTTTGTAACAACGAGATGGAAACGACAGCAACCATAGAATATATAAATGAGCTGTATAACGAGCTGAGTCTATTTAGCCGTTTTGGTTTGTATGTACGCAAAATATTCCCTTAGTTTTTGAGTTATCGATCGGAAATTTTACACATGTCCTTTTCTCTCCAAGAAGCTGCTCATATGTCGGAGCTGCTATAGGATATACAAGTAGCTACCATACAAGCTGATCGTTCAAAATCTAGTCTTTTTGTGGAAAGCTTTTTTATTTCACAAGATATTTTTACAAAATTTGGTATGGATTATTATCCAAGACAACGGTACAATCTCCGAAAAAACTATTCAGCTCGGATCACTATAGCATATAACTACCATACGAACTGACCGATCAAAGTCAAGATACAAATTTGCATACCCTTTTATGCTATATGAAATGCACCTGTGACAGGAATTTAGTTTCGGTAGAGCCGAAATAAAATTTTTTTTTTGTTTGTTTACTTTATAACTGCAAAACTATTTAAAATTAATGAAATTTTGAAAGATTGGTATTTTTTTTTTGTTCAAAAAGTACTCCAGAAGATATTTTAATCTAAAAAAATTTATTCTCTCTCTTAAAAATACAACATTTTATCCTCTTTAAGAGTAAATATTCCTCATTACACCATTTATACTACCGCACGCACTGCGCAGAATCCAACACATTGACTAAATTCAAAACAATTGGAAATTCAACAAAGCAACAAGCAACAACACATTTCGTGCAGCTGATTTTATACTTTTTGTGTTTTTTTTTGCGTTATCCTTTTCGTAACGCTTTTTATGCTTTCTAGTGGCTCACTGCAAAGTTCTGTTGAATATTTTTTCTATATTTTCCATTCTCACTTTTCGCGCTCTGTTATTATTTGAGGGCCAACAAACAAAAACAAAAGTAACGGAATCAAATTCAAAGGCAAGTTCAGACAACGGTCAATTGCCCAATTTTATGCCAACTATAAAGTGTGTCGAATAGTTCGACTAAAAAGTGAAAGGAGATATGAAAAGAAAAACATCAAAAACAAGCAAGAAAATCTACAACAACACTTCAAATTGAATAAGGGCAAACAGGCGTTACTGTATAGTGCTGGCTAACTAAAAGTAAGAAAAATTTTCGAGCAAAGATTGCATTTGCGGCAACACAAAGCAGCAATAAAAATGCGTCGACCAACAGACCGACTGACCCAGCAAGCGGCAGCCCAACGGCTCCGACACAATGCGCCGAACTGGGGAAAATGCCAAATCGAAGTGGAGCAAAGGAGCCTTGAGGCGCAACTAACGTTGTGGCTGCAGTTGTGTGTGTGCATGTCCATATATATGTATGGTCGCCGTAGTTGGGCGACAGTTAAGAATTGGCTGCTTAAGTATGCATGTAAATAGCACAACATATTCGTGCACGCACACACAGGCATTTGCGTATGTGAACGATATATGAGCACAGTATTTGATGAGGAGTGTTTATATACATATATATACAAGTATATGTATACTTATATGTACATGTAGATTTCTATATCTCGGCTCTTTGTTAGTTTATAGTCGCCAGTAGTGAGTCATTTCCAGTTGCAGCTGCTTGTGTCAAATATTTGTGTATCGTTTGTTGTTATTTGTGTCATGCGACACGCGACATAAGTGCATAAGATACATCACAAACAAAGTGCGACACCTGATTAACGCATTGCAGAAGCGATCCGTCTTCAAATAAAAAGCATCAGAGCGGCCTACGCAGGCACCCAAAAAGCAGTGATAAATCTTCCGGTGCAAGAAGCAAAATATCTATTGCAGGCGCAAAAGATAAAGATCGGCTGGACAGTATGCAGAATAAGAGAGCAGCACCAACTGAGGAAATGTTTTAGATGCTTGGACAGGAGTCAGTGCTGTATTATATGCGGAGAAGCGGGCCACCGGGCCAAAACTTGTACTAACAAACCTTTTTGTACTGCGTGCAAAAACAGTGGGAGAACGAACACTGACCACCAAATAGGAAGCCGAAGATGCCCCATCTACACAGCAGCATGTAGTAAAATTAAGAAGTGAAGATCCTGCAAATAAACTTGAACCACTGCGAGGCAGCTCAGGATCACTTAACGCAAACGGCCTATGAAAACAATATTGACGTAGCAAAAATTTGTGAACAATATAAAAATAAAGGCACTAACACGTGGGTCTCAGATACCACCAATAAGGGTGCAATATGGGCATGTGGAGATAAAGTGATACAAGACAAACCACTCACGAAAAATGTGTACGTCATACGAGGTAAAATATGTGGGATTTATTTTTACAGTTGCTACATACCGCCAAGTATATCGCATACTGACTACGAAAAAATACTGGACGAAGTTGTGAAAGAAGAAATGACCACCACACCTAACAAAATTGCAGGGGACTTTAATGCCTGGGCTCTAGAATGGGGAAGCAAAGCCACTAACCGCAGAGGCAGTACATTGCTCAAAGCCTTCGGTCAGCTAGACGTTGTACTGTTGAACACAGGGACACAAAACACTTTTGAGAAGAATGGACGTGGCTCCAGTATTTATATATCTTTTGCCAGCAGATCGTTATTGCGATCAACAGACTGGCGGGTGTCTGACACATATACCCAGAGTGATCATCTGGCAATAATGATAAATATCAACAAGGACATGGAACGGCCAAGAAGAAACCTTTGCCAACAAAAAGTACAGGCATGGGTGTTTCCGAGAGTACTTGCATAAGTACGGACATGACAATGGAGTCGCTTGCTCCTTTTGTGGTATCAGTAACGAAAATGCAATGCATATCTATTTTCACTGCCCAAAAATTTCAAAAGAAAGACAGAATCTGTAAAAAAAAGTGGCAGACCAAATAACTCCAGATAATATAGTGCCTCACATGTTGGAATCGAGACATGTATGGAGCATTATGGAAAAGACGACAGCTCTGATAATCCAAGAGCTAAGAAGAGCCGAAAGACAGAGAAGCAGTGAAGCTTGAGCCGCGAATAGCGAACAAATGACGTGAGCCAAAAGGCTAAGCTGACCCTGCGTAGAAATGCCTAACGGCGGTACCGCAGGGTCTTTCACCAAAGCTGCAGGTGACGGAGGTCAGGGTTTAGTACGTAGGCGTACTGCGCCGCAAGTCCAACTTGGGACGATACTCCTGACTGGGCGTGGTCCCGAAAGAGGTGTACCCCTTAGCGGCCAGTACGAATCGTGCATACTGCATACTAATAAATATCGGTATCTATGTAAGATTCCCCCTCCGACAACAACAAAAAAAAAAAACCTGTTTAACGTGGCATTTCTGGAATTACTTCGGGCAGTGTAGCTTTTTTATTTATTTTCTTAGAAATACACTAAATTTGCATTGCATAACTAGGAAAACGGCGGGCGGCGGTGTGGAGTGTTTTGTACATGGCTAATATTCAGTATGTCATGTGGTCAAATCACAATCGTAGTAAAAAATATATATTTATTTTCAATTGGAAATGTTTTTCAATCACGGAAAATGCTTTTATTAAATCCATAAATAGTTTGGTGGAAATTTATAACTAATTTGTTGGAAAATATAAAGACCGCATCACTAATAAAAATAGAAGTACGGCCCAAAACTCTGTCCGCGTCGCATTTAAAAAAAAAGGGATTTCATGTGGTGAGAATGTTTTTTGTTTTGCTTAAGTTTATCTCAAATTCAAAAACTAAAAAAAAGTAATGATCGTGAGATACATAAATACCTGACAAATAAGTCTAATAAGAAATTTTTCCAAAATTATTTGTCTAAGATAAAATCCTATTATAACATCGATTAATCAAATATGATCACCAACCAGTCCGTTTAGAACATTGTTCTGCCTCATAATATTTTCAAAAATTTATATTATGCAGAGAAATCATACCAATGAGAATCATTCTGATTATAAAATACTTAAAGAGGCCTTATTTAATAAAATCATCGGAATTGCTTACACATCGGTGGTAATAGTCGACCAGGTAATGAAACTCTACTAAAAGTATTGTTCTCAACTAAGCTATCTTATTGGGATATTTTTACAGCATTAAATATTAAATTGTCAAGAGAGCTTTGAAAATCTTTTACGACACTATGGGACTTTAAATCATTCAAGTCAGACCAACTGAGCTATCTCGACTATCCAATAATTGGGTCACTTCAAATTTTCATAGATGAAATTATGATGTAGCTAACTGTACGTTACTGGAACTCTGATTCTAATTAGCGATGGCTTAACTCAAAAATACTGTAAAAATATATGTATATAGCACTATTCCACCAGGAACTGAATTTAAGCGTAACTTTGTGTTAATATATAATTCTCAGCAGTATAAAGCGGCACTTATCCATTCAGCAGGTATTCTAAGAGCTCATGTATCCACGTATGTGTCCTTGAATGCCTACTCTAACTAGCTACTAAACCTATGAAATGAATAGCAAAATAAATTCTAACTATAAGCGCCAACTAATCTAACCACACACACAAAAGAGCGAAAGTAGCATTGTAATCTACATACCATAGAATAAATTTTAGTAGAAACGCGCTAAAGTGCTGCCTTTTGCCATTTCCCTAGAGCATAAAGAAGCTACTCATCGCATTCCGCTGTCACACAATTGCGATTCAGCGACACACCTGTTGGTACATGCATTCCATTCAACTTGCTAATGTCCTTTTTGCGGTCGCAATTGGTATTCTGCATATTCAGTTTTATGCCCCGCCACCTCGTACTCATAAATTGTCGGCAATCTATGTGGCGTTTTTTGTATTTTTGTTTTTACTCTTGCAACATGTTGCTACAGAGTATAATAGTTTTGTGCACCTAACGTTGATTTGTATCACTTTAAACTAATCGAGATAGATATGCAGTTATATATTTATATATAAATGATCAGGATGGAGTGTCTGTCCCTCCGTTTGTGTGTTCGTGCAAGCAGTAACTTGAGTAAAATTGAGATATCGTAATAAAAGTTGATACATGTGATTTTTGACAAAAACATTAACGTTTCACATAAAATAAAACTATGGGCGTGGCACCGCCCATATTTAGGTGAAAACCCATATCTCTGGACCTACTCAACCGATATCAACCAAATTTGGTATGTAATTAATCTTAATTAATCTTAACATTCCTATGTGCTAATGCCAAAATTGTCAAAATCGGACTACAACAGATCAAGACCCCATATACCTAGTTCCTACCGTGAACGTTTTATCGAAAATATCAGTCAATCTGTGAGATATTTTATTGAAATTCTAAGCAAACTTTTGAAATCTGATAACAAAATGTCTGTAAGTAAAAAATGGGTTGAATCGGATGAAGGCTTCTCTTAGCAACCATATACCTAATACCAAGATTTTCAAACCACCGGTTTACCTTATACCGCATATATCGGCCAATATGTGAGTTATCTTAATGAAAATGAGAATGCGTATTTTACTACAAACTTTGTTTCTAAAATGTATTAAATCAAGTAAAAACTTGACTTGGCCTCCATATAAAAAATATATAAATTCGGGTTAATTCATTCCTTAGACCCCATATACCTAATATAAAATTTTCAAACTTCCGGTTGGTCTTATACCATATATACGAATTATCCCCACTCACATATACCTACATACATATGTACTGCATATAATGATTTTCTTTTTTCTAACAAACCTTATGACGAATATGTCGTTCAGTTCGTGAGTTATATATTTATAAAATTGTTTGAAAATATATTCTCAAGTATACCTGAACAATGTCTAAACTCCCAGTCCCTTTCTCTGTCCTCAATATGGCTTATATAATGATTTTCAAATTTTCACCTGACTTTAAACCGTTAAGGTTGATCGAAATGTGTGATATTTTAGTGAAATTAAATGGGCAAGTTTCCTCGAAAATTGTGTGGTTTACCACAATTCAATATGAATGGAATTGAAACTGGGCCAAACCCCATATTCCCAATATAAACAATTTCGATCATCTGGCCGACATTTTCTACATCAACTAAATCTATTAAATTTAGCATCTTCGATTGAGTTTATATCACATATTTCTTATTTAAGGATGATTTTATAATGAATATTGAAGTCTTTCGTAACATTTTTTAATATAAAGTTTTGCCAACACCTAGAGGTATTTCGCCAGCTTTAATCCGTAAAATTTGAAAGAGTATAAAATATACGGTTACACCCGAACTAAGCCCTTCTTTACTTCTTTCTGTTTGCTTTGTATTTATTCATCCACGGACGTTTGTTAATGGGTGTGTTCATACAAATGTTGATAATTATATGCATTTGCGTATTTGGTTGAATCTATTTCCCAGACATACAACAGCGAAAAATTCAATTAACTGTAAATTTTGTGCCACAAAATTATTGTCTGTTATGTGCGAATATTCGAAAATTAAATTAAGCCGAGGATATTTTAAATGTTTTATTTTTATATAGAACTGGAGTTTTCATGAAAAACGTGGTAATACTTTTTCGCACACATATGTAGTTTATCCCACGAGTTTAATGAAACCATCAAATTTTGTCGCTACTTGGAACTAAGTACATTCGTTTTATAAAGTAAAATAAAAGGATCCAAATATTATATGTCCGCTAAATGACGCAAAAATACTTCCTAAAACCATATTTACTTTCCTATTTAGTTCATTAAGGTAGATCACATATTTACATGGTGAAAACAAAAGTTCGAATTAATATGTCTAACACGTAGCGTTAAAGTCTCTCAAAACATATTTACTGTATATTCATACAAAATTATTAGTTATACTAATATTTTCCGAGTGATAAATTTAAAAACAAATGCATTATTTTGACTATGTCACGTTCAATGACGCGCAAATGACAATAGTGCAATTTCAATGACATTACGTCAAAAAAATGTATATTTTATACAAGTACCATTATACCATTTTTATTGCTGACTATGACTATCATAGAATTTGACGTAATGAACACTTATAAAGAATGTACAACACTGAGAAAAATTCTTAGTGACAGTAGCTATTTAAGGTGTCCACCCTCGATGTTAAGATATGCCATTAATCCGCTTCGCCCTGAATTTTATAGAAACCGCTGAAATGGCAGTAAAATTTATACTCACATGCCGTCAGTTTTTAAATAGTTCAACATTTCATTATTGGTGATAATAATATAATATAATAAGATACATGTAACTAATTAATTTTTTGGTCAAACCGCTAGCCTCTTCTTAAGTTTTTTAAAGACGCTGTTTTGCGTTTTACTCTATTTAGAAGCGGTGTCTCTTATTTTAAAATAATTTGACTTTGATCAATTGAACTAGGTTTCTTTAAAACACACTAATATAATTTCCAAATCGATCAAAGGTTGGGTTTAACCTAAATATAGTTATTTATTTTATGAAATAACAAAACTAGCGTTAGCATGTACATAATTGTGCTATTAATTAAGCGAGCACATACATTAGGATTTATTCTATATGCTACGTTATATGAAACTTAATGATATTTAGTCACCAATTAAGAAGAAGCTAAAACTGTTTGAATCCACGCCAAATACGTTGCTACATTTACGTAAACGCCGGGCACGCCACCTTGACCACAGCCAATACCCCAAGCCACCAAACCGACCACATACCAGATATTGTTGTTCTGACAGACCAGCGGTGCACCACCATCGCCCTGTGCGAAGAAGAGAATAAAAGAAACACACACATGAGTATAATTAAGCGCATTACGTGTTGGAAAAACTTGGTTCGCACGCGACTTCTCAACCGCGCCACATTTTACTCACCGTACACGCATCCTTGCCGGCTTGTCCGCCAGCACAAATGAAACTACTGTTATTCAGTTGAAAAGTTTGTCCGAGGCGCGTGGCTTGCAGCATCGTTTGACAAGCTGCATTCGTAATGAGCGGCACATCGACTTCGCGTTGTATAGCCTGATAAGCGCCGGTCGGCCCAAAATCATTCTTACCCCAACCGGCTACATAGCAAGTTTGACCCACAAATGTGGTGGTTGGCAAGCAGACAGTGCCCACCGTGGACTTGGTCGTCAGTGAGACGGTCGAAGCGAGCAGTATGATGGCGACATCATTTTGCAAATTGGCCGAATTGAAATTCGGATGAATGAAAACGCTGGCGATGGCCACATCCTGTGCAGGTATCACTTCGGAGGTGCTTGCTGCATCCCATTCGCCAACGCGCACCTTAAAAGACGACGTGCTGTGTGGCAGAGAAGTAACAAAAACAAAACACAAAAACGTAGAAAAACTTCAAAGCTTCCGACACCATAAAAAACAGCAGTACGCGTTGACCTTACCTAATATTATAAACTTTATGGGCGGCTGTAAGCACATGCTGTGCCGTGATTAGCGCTCCTGCACCCAAATATACTTCGGCGGTGGTAAGCAATGCAGCTACCCAGGGATATTCGCCGAATTGCGCTTGACCTGCACCAGCTGCTGTACTACCGGGCGGTGGCGCATAACGACGTCCGCATTGGTACGGGCCCGCTTGACAGCAGAGCTGAAGTCCATACTTGCACGTGGGGGTTAAAACTGGGTTTGTAATGCTTGCCTAATGAATATCAAAATAACAATATCTCATTTTTCATACTCATATAAACATATGTATGTATGTATATAAGTACGTATGTATGTATGTAAATCTGCATTACTTGCTTACATTATTCACGATGCGTATGTCGATTTGTCCACTGCCGTCCGTCGGTGATGTTGGCAAGGGATTAGGACAAGAGCCTGGCGGCACACAAATACAATACGAAGAGATAATAGACGGGAGCGTTAGTTGCGGAAAAGTGCCCACTATTAGTTGTCGAGTTAAAGCTGCAATATTTGGAGGGCGTAAATGTAATTTGATGATTTGAATTAGAAATTTTACTTGAACTTAATTTGGTGAAACGTAATACTAATAAGAGAAATTATACGTAGGTTGCCTTATATACTTTGGAATTCGGCAACCCTAGTGTTGCAATCTGGCAACTCACTTTTCGCAAAGTTTGACATTATTATTGATATACATATTTAGAACCTTTAGACAAACGAGTGTTATTTGTGTTGTTTACAGTAACTTAAAATATTCATGTTGGTCAAAAATGGAATTAATTTGCGAAAATTTTTTTACAACTTTCGACGGGAATTAACTGAGCAACTGTGCATCGATGAACTTAATTAAATTTTTGGCGATGAAGCTCCATCAAGGACCAGTGTTTATCGATAGTATTGCGAATTAAATCAAGGTCGTAGATCATTACAAGAACCATTTATGCTGTGCTCAAACTGATATTGAAATTGAGACAATTATAAGCAAAATTTGGCTCGTGTCAATTGGTCGAGAGAAATATTAAAAAAAAAATACGAAAGCGGTGCTTCGAAACACATCTATGGCATCGTGTCAGGTGATGAATCGTGGATTTAGCCGAATCCAACAAAAGTTGTTCGCGCACTAAGCACTTCCAAGCCAATGGTTGCGTGGAACTGTTGCATACTATACCGCTCGGTACAAGTTTTGGTAACCCCGCCCACTCCCCGTATACGGGACTTTCAAAAACTACTAACCGCGCGATAAATCAATAAGATAGACAAGACGGCCTAATAAGAACCGGCGTCAAAATAAGACGATGGAGGTCGCACCACCTACATTTTGGTAAAAACGCACATCTCGGAATCAAATTCAGTAGGTAGCATTATTCTGACATTTTTATATCGCAATGTAAAAATGGACGATATCGAACCGTCATCTGATATCGTCAGGTACCGAATATATGGACCCATTGCGAACTTTTCATCGAAAATATGGGTCAACCTGTGAGATATGTTATAGAAACTCACAAAGAATCTTTATATAATATTAATATGCTAGTGTGCCAAAAATGCCCTATACCTAATATAAAGATTTTTGAGTTTCCGAGTGACTTTATACCGCATATATCGGCCAATATGTGAGTTATCTTAATTGAAATAAGAGAGCGGATTTTCTTATAACATTGGATCCTTGTGCATAAAATGGATAAAATCGGGTGAAAACTTGCACTAGCCTCAATTAAACTAAATCAGGTGATGGTATGTGAGGTACTTTAATGAAGGTTCAATACTATATCTATCTCTCATATAGTAATATAAGATTTTCAAACTTCCGATTGGCTTTATACCGTATATATCGGTCAATATGCAAGATATTTTAACAAAATTAACTGAACAGATAATATTAGACATACTATAGTTTAATGTGATATTGGTGTTCGATTTATCCAAGCCCTCATATTATACATATAATGATTTTTGTTATTCTAACAAACCCTATGCTGAATATGTCGTTCAATGTATGAGTTATATATTTATAAAATTAATTTGTTTTAGGTCTTTCACCGGATTTGATCCTGGCAAGTTGCAAGAGTATAAAATATTCGGTTACACCCGAACTTAGCCCTTCCTTACTTGTTATAATTAACAAATTTATTGCTCATTATTTAACTTGTTTTATACATCTTCTATTTTCTGAAAAAATTTATTTATTTTAAATATAAAAACACATATGTAGACAAAGACCATTGAGGCCAACTTGAAAAAAGTGATTCTCAAAATTATTAGGCCAACTGTAATTCCTTTTATTCAACGCGTGAATATAACACATTTTTCTACGCTCAAATATAATACATGCTTAGCAAAGAAAAAACATTAACTTCGGCTGTACAGAAGCTATAATATCCTTCTCAGGAGCATTTTTATAGCATAAAAGGATATAAAAAGATCTTAAATCTGACTTTGATCGAGGTCAATCTGACTTTGATTGAGGTCAATTTAGATAGCAGCTATATGCTATAGCTGTCCAATTTGAACAATTTGTTCGGAGATTGTAGCGATGTTTTGGATAATAATCTCTAACAAATTTCTTGAAGATACCTCATCAAATAAAAAACTTTTCCGCACAAGCACTTTATTCCGATCGTTCAACTTGTATGGCAGCTATATGCTACAATTATGGAATGAGCAGCTTTGGGGTGAGAAAAGGACGCGTGCAAAATTTCAGACCGATATCTCAAACCTGAGAGACTAGTTCGCGTATATACAGGCGGACACACTCAGCTCGTCACGTAAGGTCTTCGACTTTTCCTTTTGGGTGTTACAAACATTGTAACAAACTTAATACACCCTGTTCAGGGTATACAAATCGATTCCTCTTGTCTCCTCAGATTCTTTTATCAAAGTTTGCTCTCAGGCTGCTTTTAGGGCTCTAGACTGGTCAAATAACTTATGAAATTGGCAAACTTTTGTCGATTATTATTGTTATTAAACTCTTAATTTCTTAAGGGTTTTCAGCACTTCTACCAAATTTTTTGCTATCTCCGATATTTCATAATTTAAATTTTATAAATAAAACTCACTGTGAGCAAGATTATTTTAGAAAACAAATTGGTGTTGCTGTGTATTTTTATACAATTAATATTTTCACAAAACTTTCACATAACCCAAACGAGAAAACATTTGAAAACTCGTTTCACCTGTTGCCGGCGAAGCTCCAGGATTGTTATCGTCTCCGCTACTGCTGCCATTCGTTGAGCTAAATGTAAATCCTGCACCGCGACGTACTGTATCAACGGTGGATAAACCATGCGCGTAATGAATGTAATCCGACAAAAGCGCCACAATGCACAGCAGACAACTAAAAACGAGTTCATTGAAGTGGAAATGCATTTTTCCGTCAATTTAAATTGCGAATATGAATGTAACAATCCTTCGTGAGTAGGTCCTTTGTTAAGCAAACAGTCACTATGTGTGTATTTGTATGTGTGTGTGTGTGGCTAACACTTTGGTGTGCTTTTGGTATGAATGTATTTATCGGTTGTGCTATCGCGTGTGTTCGCCACTAATACAGTTTGAAATCACTTGCAACTCTGCACGCTTAGTCGTCAGCCACAAAAGTAATCCACTCGACAAGTAGCGTTAGTCAACTGCTCGCCATAATTTGAAACATTTTAATTTTATATGAAATATTATTATTTTCCAACTGAAGCGGTCAGTGTGAGTGCAGAAGAATCTTGCAAAAAAAACTAATACACCTAAATAAATAAATATACAATAACAATGTAAATAAATGACTGGGGAAAAACAATTCGTGGAAGTGCTCGTTGGTACACGCTCGTGGATAATTTGCTCAGTCAGGCAAAGAAACATAACACATATGAAATAGTATTGAATACAATCCGAGCACAGGGCCGTTTGATCGGTCGATCCTCCCCACTGTGATGATACACACGTTTGTACGACGCTGGTTCGATAAATACTTAGCCAACAAAAGCAAAATGAAAATTTTGAAAACATAGTTATTCTTCTTTCTCAACATAGTCTTCTGTTAGCTCAGTACACACGACCCAACATTTAACCCGTCTGACGAGTTTTTGAAGTCGGCAAAGTAGCTCTGCGTGACTTCGATAACCACCTCACTCGAATCGAATCGTGACTCGCGTCGAGTCAAACCAATAATTTGACTTAATAGTATTATTATCGTACTTTAGGTAGAAGATGTAGACCACACCTCATGAATCGCAGAACACGGTGGTCGTCAACTTTCCGACCGTTAGGACAGTCTTTGCCTTCGTTTCGACTGTTTCCTGACCTCTGGCTTATAATTATAATCTTAATTGATGCTCTTAGCTTAATACTTTGAATTCCTGTTATCTCAGCTATCTCGCACACCTTCAATTAACCTTAACTGTTATCCTCCGTGGTCTTGTTAAAACAGTTTTCACGGTCGTTATCCTTCCTTGATTTCACTAAGCGACTTTTCTTCCGAAAACTAGAATGAAATCACCGACCGATATTACTCTTTTTACGTTTTTCTAAAATCCCCGAACACACGTTTCCACACAAGGTACATAAATAAAAAACTATTAGTCCGATTTGGTTAAAATTTTGTCAGTAATCTTCTAGAAGAATGTGCTACACGACAGTAAATCTCTCTTGCATTGCCATCGGACAGTAAGTAGTTATCGGTGCGACCTGCCAATCGATGTACATACACACAATACCAAGGTAAAGGCAATGAAAAAAGAAATAAAAGTTCATTAAGCGCATGCTGATGGATTTTCCAGGCGCATGAAGGCAAAATGACGTTTTTTGTTAGATTTCCAATTTTTTAGAACTTTTTTGTTTGGTTAGTAATTTGGCTTTGTAAAATGTAATGTAACGTATAAAAAAAATGGTAGTGTACCTATGTCGTTCGGACGAGCTGCAATCAGTGTTAAAAAACGGCGCTTGTGTGACATGTGAAATTACTGTTAGCGCAAATAATTTGATTATAACAACTTAATGGATTGCAGCGAGCGGTGAGCAACAGCGGTGATAGTTAAGTCAACAACAGCGCAAAATATGATTTGTTGGTTTATAGTTTGATTTACCAGACATACATACACCCATATATAGTGAATAATGTATAGTAAGCGGAGAAAAAGTGGCCACAGCGCATGCGCATCTAATGAATTGTCTGCATACAATTATATATGTACATATTCTTTGATAAATATTTGTTTAGTTGTATTTTTTTTTCTTTATGCAGGTAGCATACACATACTGTCAAAGGTATATATGGTGTTCTTTTAGAGCTATAGAATTTCCTATGAGAACAGCTGTAAAACCAGCTGTCAAAGTAGACCCACCTGTTTGACATTTATGTTCAGCGTACTTTAGCAAATCTTCATGCAAAAATTCTGCAAAACGTGTTTCGTATTTTGGGGACCAAACTTGGCGAATTTATGCGTGTGAATAATCTTGTAGAGCTTTACCAGACTCCCTTGCGTCTAGAAAAAGTTAATTTTTCAAAACCAACCCTCACATGCATTGAGATTGATACCTACATCAAGCATCAATTTATTGCGATGAAATGTTTGGTGACCACATTATATTATGGAATAAGCCTGCCAATTGCCACCTATTGAGGTCAGATAATTTGACTCCGTTAGACTACCTTTTTGAAAGGTACGTACGGTAGATTATGTTTCTATGTTGTATTTTAAACAAAGTTCTGTGTCTCTAACAATACAACCTTTATTTGTTCTCAGAGAAATTTCAAATTAGCTAAGTCCATGACGAATGACATAAATCGCAACACTGTTTTGAACAATAGTAATAATAATATAAATTAGGCGACTTTTTATTCGGTCAAGCTGCTGCTTCCAAATGCGTTTTGTCATTAACCCAGAAAAAAAAAAAAAAGTATTAAAACATGACAAACCGTTAACTTCGGCTACACTGCAGCTATATAACCTTCAAAAATGCATTTCTTATAGCATAAATGGATATAAAAAATATCTTTATATAGATATTAAATTTGGTTAGTTTTCTGGTAGCTATATACTATAATGGTCTGATCTGGACAATATGTTCGGAGATTATAGCGTTCATTTACATAATAATCCATGCCAAATTTCCTGAATTTGTACGTTAGCTATATGCTTTAGCGGTCCGATATGGGCAATTCCGACAAACGAACAGCTTCTTGGGGAGAAAAGGACGTGTGCAAAATATCAGATCGATATATCAAAGCTCATGCCAATCATTTATGTTAGTATATACTTTATATCAGGGTCTCCGACGCTTCTTTCTGAGTGTTACAAACTTCGTGGCAAACTTAATATACCCTATTCAGGGTATAAAGAAAAGGTGGATTGGCGAAAGTTTTCATATCAGAAATTCCAAGGTAAGTTTAACAAAAATTATAGTAATAGAATGTCGAAAATTTGGAATTAAGTAGAAAACGTTTTAGTCATTTATGTTGTTACTGTCTTATTGCGATATCTATCATATGCACTATACAAGTTTTATTTAAATCGGTCAAATAGTTTTTAAAAGGTGAAATTTCACTTAAATTGGGCGAGGCTATATCAATAATATAATTTTTATAATTTTTTGCCTAAGTTTATGCAAACCCGCACTACCTTTTTTGTTTCCGGTATATTTTTTAAAACAATAGCTCTAGTAGTTTCGAAAGTATGTAGTACATTAAAACTATTCGGGTGTGGCTATTGTCTCATTAACAATTTTTTCCAAGTTACTATGAGCTGAACAAAAATAGATAAAAGCTTAAATTAATACGACAATACGCGTAGTTTTATATTTGACGATTCTTATTTTTTTAACTCTTAAATTACTATCGATAATTTTGTTGAATTTATCAAATGCTATAATTATTGCTGGTTTTCCCTATTTATTTACCAATTTCTTAAAGATACGAACGAATGGCCAAAGTTTTGACTGAAGTCAAATCTTTCATTCCTGTTAAAATTGATAGCAGTTGCAATTAACGTACCTTACTATCAAAATATATGTGATATATTATATATGTACATAACAGTAAATATTTGATTGTTAATTCATATTTAATTTGCAATTACATACAATCACGAACATATAAGTATAAAGTTTTAGATGAACAAGCCAATTCGCTCTGTGTGGTGACAGTGAATTGTGAACGAAATAAAACTTGGATGCATTTGCATTATTTCGAACACTATATGCACTTTTAGGCACACATATATTTCAAGTTTTTGCGAAGATTACACAGAAGACAAACAAACATATATGCATATGTAGATAGATGCTTTGGTTTATTATTATGTTACATACTTAAATAGTAGTAATGATTACTAATCTAGCCTCCGATTACTAAAGTGGACTCTCAATTATTATTTTCTTATAAGAACTTAGAATGTGTATGAGGTTTGCACCGCGACCTAGGGTCTATTGTGCCCACTCATGAGGACTTTCATGACAAGTATACAAAGTACCGGTGTATTCCAATTATTTATTGGTATAAGTGTCGATTATAAATAACATATAGTTACTTTAATTACTAGCTTTAAGAAAATAAATTAATATATATGTGTGAAAAATAATATATATGTATGTACATATGTCCTATTATTTTACAAATTTTAATATTTAAATGAACGAAAAAATGTATATTGGACTGTGCCGTCATCCAACATACTGGCATTTGGCGACATCTACAACTTCGCTCTAATAGTAACATAAAGAAGTCACCCTGTTAAAACAGAGAACGTATATTATATTATGATATACGCTCTCTGACAAGGGCCGCAACGATTTAACAAACAAAACAAACGATTGCATTGAATGTAGGCAACGAGTTGCCTCAGCGAATTGGCTCAAATAAAATTAATAGAACAATCGAGAACGATTGATGTGAACATTTTTTGACAGGCGTTTCGGCCACGGATAAAGTCTTAAATATTGTAAATAATTTGGTGGAAACTTTACTATAACACACTAATCATGACACGTAAGTTTTCAATTTGTACAAAGTGTGTAAGATTTTTAACGGTATAAAAGTTTGCAATTAGATTTGCTCACGATATAAAAGTGGTCTATCACAAGTAATATGTTGGGATGTTAACGCGAGCTTCCATTTCTAAAATTTGTTTTATATAAAAGTGGATGTTTGGATAATATATGAAAATATCGTTAGCTTTATAACAGTTCATTAAAGTTCAAACAGATCTCAAAGCAAATATACTGGTTTGCATGTGGAAATGCACACACACATAAAAATTAGGGTATATAAGTAAGTAAATATGTATACGCATTGTTTTATTAGGTAAGGTGTGGATTTGTTTACTATTTGCATACTTCTTCCAGATAGTTAACATCTTCAAAACAAAAACGACTGCAAGCAATTTGTTGTACATATGTGGCTGAATTAATGTTATTCCTTCTTTGTAAACAACAACGATACGATTTGTGACTACATGCCTATGTTTAATAATATGTACATATACTTGTATACGTAAACATATTAATTATAAACCGGTATAAACATTTATACGTTATAATGAATATTATTGTTGTTGAAAAATACAAAGACATAAATATTTAAATGTGCATTGTTTTTAGAAACTGAAAGCATGTTGTTGAAAAAGGCTTAAATCAAACAAGATAGCCAGTATAAATATATAGATAAAGTAATTGATAGCAAAATGATACCCGAAAAAATAACATATCAATTAACAGTATATTAAGTGTTTATTCTTCATGGCGTATGACTCCTTAAAGCAATTGTTGTCCCAAGGTCTGCGAAATCATAAAATTAGTTAATTCACATAAGTTATAGACACATGTTTTTTAGAGTTATAGTTATTGTTATTAAAAGCTGAAAAGTATTTTAAGATGCTTTAAAACTAAAGTATTTATAGTTTCTATAAATGAAATATATTACGAAAAGCTTTCAATTTAATCGTATATGATCATATATTTTATATCCTGAACAGGGTTAAGTTTGCCACGAAGTTTCTAACACGCAAAAGGAAACTGCTCAGTATGACGATCTGAGCTGATTTATCCAAGTCCGTTTGTCTGTCTGTATATACGCGAACAAGTCCCTTCGTTTTTTGTGAAATCCAAGAAGCTGCTCATTTGTCGAAACCAGCGATATAGGACCAATCTCCGAACAAATTAATCAGATCGGACTATAGTATAGCTGCCTAACAAACTGACCGGTGAAAATCCAGATAAATAACATTTTATACCCTTTTATTATATATAAAATATATCCGTGAAGTGTATTATATGGCAATGTTACTCATATTATAATATCCTGATTTAAACAGCCAACTATATAAAATTGCAGGTGGAAATCAAAGAGATCTTGCCCGCCAAAAAAACCAGAAAAAGAATCAGGAACTGGGTAAGGGAAAACGAAATGATAATTTGACGGTGGAACAAAGAAAAGCAAGGTATTTATCACATTTATATTTGATGCGATGTAGTTTAAATACTAAATAAAATTCTACCACTACAGAGATGCTGAGTTGATGCGAGAAAAACAGAAAAAGAAAGAAGAGGAAGCTCGTGCGGGTGCCGCAGGAAAGAGTTAAATAATCTAATTAAATAAGTCGCAGCAAAATAAATTATAGCAGCCATATTTAATTTCTAACTAGTTGAGGGCATGAGTGAAAGAATACTAAAACGTAAACACAAACCATAAACAGCTAAATCTTTTACTACGTAAAGGCAGCAATCACTCAGAAAATAATTTAGCAAATTAGCAATCAATAAATTCCTGTACAGATTGTTGATGCCTACCCACACATGTAGAAACCATATATTTGTTTATTTCATTATTTTTTTTTTTTTACATGTACCAGTAAGTTTCGCCTATATTTTCTCTAAAACATGATGATTGACGTTATTTTTACCTGACTAAATTTTAACATTTAAGATGGAATAAAATGTTTTGAAAATTCAAAGTTATACCTACAACAATTTTGAAAAACGAAAACCAAAAATGTTTAGATAACGATTAAAGTTGAAAAGGGAGGCTAGAATTAGCGTCATGAGTAAATAACACGACCAACATGCAAAAATGAAATGCACGTCATAAACAAGGGCGTAAATGAGAGAGAAATTAAAGAATTAAATTAGAAATTAGTTACTTAGTATTTTAAGGCAATATAATGCAAAACAAAAAATTATATACAAATAAATATGCGAAATCTAAGCTAAGTAAGAGTCTTATTGATTCGCAAATCAGTTGAATATAAATACATTGAGCATTTTTAGTGTCTACTGTTTATTCAATTACTTTTAAAATAAAAAAAAGTATGTAGGAATAAATTTGATGTATTGTATGGTACAAGGTTCTGCCAGAGAATGTTAATGAATAGAGATGGCGCAAATGTTAGCTGTTCTAAAATGTAAATTATTTTGAGGGAACATCGAAAACGCTCATGTTCGAACATGAAATTTCACCACCTTATCAGAGAACTAAACGAACTACACCACTCTATGAGGGAACCAAGCAAATTGTATGCACAGATGGCATGCGTATGAACAAAAATTTAAAAACAAGGAAAGTAATTGACTTATGACAAGAATATGTAAATAATGAAGGAAATAATATGAAAATAGAATTAAAATGTCATTTAATAAAAAAGGTTTATAAAAATAAAAAAATATCTGTGATAGAATTTGAACTTGGGCAAAATATTTCATGTTGAAATAAGGAAGTGTGCTATACGAGCAGCACCACGGATAATATCAACATGATATAGTCTGATGTATGAACTCAAACAACTATCGTTGTGTACTTGTTTCAAATGTCCGATTTGTATATGAATATTCTTGAAATTGTCCTTTATGCAAATCAATATGTGCATATGTACATATGTATGTCCCTCAATATGCAATTTGTAAAAAATTCGGGCTAGTGACAAAACAAAATCATAAGAAACGCGCGTATGCTACAAAACGAAGTGCGATCGTTTATAACTCTGAACTGCGCTCTTTGTCTGTGCGCCTGGTCAACCACATTCGGTTTTCATATGGAATTCCTACCGCAAATGCGAAAAATGAAAGAAAATATATTTGAATGGTTGCACTAAAATTGAAAAACAAAAATAGCCACCCATTAAAATCCCACCATCCCCTCGCATTAGCATGTCGCCCACAAACTGCTTCCTCACGACGATGCTTAAAATCAGAATTTGAAGAATTTGTCTGATGTTCCTTTCAGAAAGGAGAATTGGCAACATGGCCTATTAGCGGCCTAAAATATTTTAAGTTATTTCATATTATGCATCATATATGGCATTAGATTATAAAATTTATATAAAATTGCATTCATATGAATATTCCTCTAAATGATTTAATTTACATATCTTCCAAACCGCCTAAGATATATCAACCAAGCTTGTTTAGAAGAAGTCATTTTATTACCACTTCAAACTCAGTGAAAATGTGTAAAATCGGATATTAACCAACCCACTCCCCATATAACGGTTATGTTGCAAACTACTTAATACGTACGCTTACACACTGAATAAATGAGCCACAAACATTAAATTTCACAACCAGAATGGTAAAGAAGGGCTCTATAGGCTCTGGTGTGCAAATTAGGCAAGGGGCGTAGCACCGCCTAGGTAAAATCCTATACCTCAGGTATAGGGCCACATTTGGTGTGTGAGATTACCCAAACATTCCTATTAGACACTGCGAAATTAGATGACAACCACGCCTAAATTCCCTACAACAAACTTTCAAATTCAGTCTGATTCTTTCACTTTACAGTATACAAATCAAACATCCATAAAGTTATCAGAATAACACTTTGCACAAATAGTGCCCTCAAGATATTTAATTTTTCGTCCAAAATTTGTCAAAATCGCAGTTATAACTTGTGCCAAAAATGGGGAAAGCAGGTCAACACTTCCCTTAGCCCCCATGTACCAATCAGAAATATTTTTGAACGTCCGGTTCACTTTATACCGCAAGTATCGGTCAATATGCAAGAAATATTATATTAATGAAATTTAGAAAGAATCTTCTAATAACAGAGTATCCTCTTTCCTTATATGAATGAAGTTACGGCGATACTTTCCTAAGTTTGATATAAAGTTTTGTCAAAACCTAAAGGTGTTCCTCCGCTTTTGTTTCCTGCAAGTTACAAGAGTATGAAATGTTTGGTTACACGCTAACTTGGCCCTCCCTTACTTGTTTTTTATAAGGTGGCAGTACAGGTCCAGTAGTTGTGATTCAAAATTTTAAAACCAAAAAAAAAATACATCAATTCGAAAAACAGCCTTCATCAAGATTAATAAATGGTACTTCTGCATAATACATATAAGCAGGGGCACTTTCGGTCTGCAGATTATGAGCTTTTACTACTACCCAACGGAAGCAACGATTTTATTAAAGGAACGCTTCATGTCAGCTTACGCTAAATTGAAGCTAGATAACCCTTCATAAGGATCTTAATTTGGAGATTTGGTTGGTGACTCACATAAGCATCTGAAGTTCCATAACCTCTCCTTCGGCGTGAACAAAATCGGTCAATAGTAAAATCCATGTTTAAACCGACGAAGCACACTAAGCGGACGGTAATCATAGATAGTTTTGAGTAATAGTATCGAGTGATAATCTCTGGTCGGACATAAATCCAGGTGAGTTCTGGTTGCGTAAGGTCAGTACTGTTTTTGTAGCGGTAGAAAACTTTTGAGAAAAGCTGGTAGTTTTTGGCTGGATGCATTTATGTTCTGGTTACAAAGCGTCAACTATCGAGGGAACGATTCGATTGTTATTGTCATTGTAGCGGTTATCTGGACCAACCCTGTTTGAGTGGCACGGCGCAAGTCAGTTTTCATCAAAATCATATAACGGAAGGCGCAATAAACGTACTGTTTCTACGGGGTCGGACCATAGGTAGTCCGCATAAAAATCCGTGTCCCTTCCGGTTACTTAGACCCGACTGTCGTGGAAACGGGTCCAGTTCGTGAACATGGTTGCTGTGGATCCGATTCGGTGATCACTCTTTGTTTTCAGTCTTGACTGCTCTTAAGTTTCGTAACCCCTCTGCCCCACTCTGTCGTCTGTTTACGAAGCTAGCAGAACAAATATCGATCTACTTCTGGTCCTATATTGTGCAATAACTGTAGTTTTATCTGCTCACTTTCTTCTCAATTCGATTCGTTTGGTGTTATCATGGTGGACCTCTCACTTCTAACTTTATGTGAAACAAACAAATCAAACATAATCATGAAACTAACCGTTACATCAAAAGACAGACGGTGGGCAAATGTTAGCTGTACAAAATTAAAATACCCAAGTACAAGTGTTGCACTGAGTTACAAAACTTACAAAACAAAAAAATGAAAAACTCTAACAACAACAAAGCAACAATATTGGTAAAGAGCGTATTGAAATACAATAAATTCCGCGAAAAATAAAGAAAGTAGCTGTGAATGACATCGCCAACGACCCACGACATCCTGCTGTTGCTGCGGCAAACCGCATTGCTGCAGTGAAACCCCACATTTGTTGGTAGCGCATGACAGAACCAACCGAAGCGGTGTCTATTGCTGCAGCATTGTGGAAGCAAATCAGCCGCAATCGAATGTAAGTAATTCCAGCATCGTTAACGTGTTGTCTTAAATGGTTAGGCGGCTATTGATGGCTGTCGACTATTTCTTTATCTTACACCTTGTATAGTTGTTGTTCTCTATATTTGTGCGCTGCCTGTTTGCCCACCATCGATTTGGCCAATCTAAACGAAACAACACAATTTCCGCATTTTCAATGCTCACACAAAACCTACATACATACATACATATATACATATGTACATATATACATTTGCGCTGATAACTCAACAGTTGACAATCACACGAAAGCGCAGCTCAGCGCATTACCGCCAGCTACAAAAAACACCAACAGCTGCTGCAAATGAAAAGTTCAATTTATCTAGCGCGCTGCAGCGACTCACAATGTGGCATGCTAAAAGTTCATAGACCAAAAATGGGTAGTTAACAATAACAACAAACAAACAACATTGGTACAAATAATTGTGCCATAACTGAGAAAGCCAAGAAAGGGAATATGTGTCGCAAGCGTCACGCGGAGAAGAATGTAACAGGCCTATTTGTAATAGCTGAAGTAAACAAAGAAAGAAAATCACTAATAACGGACATTGACTGTTGTCCAACTCTAAATAGACAAATAGCTCATTGGACAAGATGCAGCTGTTGATTTTGTCAGTTAAATGCTGACTCTTCCAAGTGTCTTCACATTAGGAACTACTAAAGAACTATAACATAAAATAGGTCTGGTAAAAAGAAATCCATTATTTTTGTATTAAATTGAAGGATTTTATAGCATTGTCAGAATGATCCGATTTAGGTCATAAATGCACCGGTTTATTCAATAACTTTTGGCTATTTCGAAGGTAATTGCATAATGCCACTCTCACAGTAAACTTCGCACCTATTGGCACCAATCTGGGAGTTGATTTTCACAAGTTCCCGACTGTGAGGTGTATCTATGCATACCTTCCAACCAAGCTTCTGACGAGTAACTATCGATGTGTGTCACCTGACGTGGTCTTGATGAAACACGATTCCTATCGGTCGCTTCTAGGCGATTGCTTCTTTCAGACGCTAAAAATGTTAACAGCACAGATCCGAATTAAGAATTTGACAATGGGGAGCAGCTCATAGTAGATGATTTCCTGCCATTCATCGTAAGGGACCCACGTTTCAACACCAGTAACCATCCGCTTCAGAAATGAATCGATTTTATTGTGGTTCAGCAGCGATTCACAGATGGAAATTCGGTACATTAGGCTTTTGAGCATTAACTGGTGTGGCAACCATAAACCGAATTTCTTTTCGTATCCAGCCTTATTTAAATTTTTTTTGTACAATGGTGAGCTTCTAGCTAACTGTGCTTACATGATGGTCGGTCTCGATGATTTCCATTTTTGGTAAATCATAAAGCAGAATTAGTTAAGATTACTGCAAACGCAATAAGTATATAAAGAATAACTTGAGGACGACAAACTAAGCGGGAGGAATAAAATGCTATGTTTATTAACGTAGTATTTAAAAGTATTAGATAATAAGCCTGACACCGCCTTCTTTCATATTTCATATCTCACAACTCACTAGACCAATGTGAACCAAATTTGGTACTAGCTTAAAAACGATTCACAACTTTGTCCACCATATGCATGGTAATGATTTGAATTTGAGTGTGCAACAGATCGAAGTATCGTTACTCAACCCCCACATGTCGAATATTATAATCTCCGTTCACTCAATTAAATTTATATCGTACATAATGGCCAAGGTGTGTCATATCTAAATATGTTAATTTTTTCTTAGTGTAGTGCCATCTGCTACAGAGCTGGATGACGACGTCATAGTTTTTATCGAGTTCCAAAAATTTCCGGGCTGACTTAAATGTGGATATGATGATATATAAATAAGTTATATAAGTATCTTCTCTTGCAACAAGTTACTACAGTATATACTAGTTTTGTTCACCTTACGTTTTGTATCACCTAAAACTAATCGAAATAGATATAGGGTTATATATACATTTATAAATGATAAGGATGATGAGACGAGTTGAAGTCCAGGTGTCTGTCTGTCTCTCTGTGCAAGCGATAACTTGAGTAAAATTTGAGATATGTTGATAAAACTTGCTGCATATATTCCTTGGCACCCAAAAGAGATCATAATCGGATCATTGCATTAATGGAAAAACTATAATGTACCATAACCATACCGGTTGTAAAAATTATTAAAAAATGGGCGTGGCCCCGTTCTCTAATAGATTTAATATAAATATCTCCAAAACCACTAAAACCAAATCAACCAAATTTACTCGAAACAAATTTTTATGTTATTTCTTCCGACAATGTGAAAATGGGTAAAATCGTGTAATAACCTCCCTTTCCTTAACATATACAACGTTTTGGTTAAAAACTACTAAAATTGCCATAACTCAGTAACTGAATGCATTATATACAGTAAATTTTACATTCGCGATGGTAAAAGAGGGCTTTATAGGTACCAGAGTCAAAATTGGACGTTGGGCAGGGCATCGCCCAGCTTCAAATGAAATCACATCTTCGGACCTACTAGACCATTTTCAACCAAATTCGATACATCAAATGGCGGAGGTACCTTAATGAAACTTAGAGAGAATTTTATTCTGTTAATAATAGTATTAGTATTGTTAAAAATAAATAAAATCATTTCAATACTACCCCTATCTTTCATATATCTGATAAAAGATTTCCAAACTTCGACTTAGCTCGTCACGCTGCTCATTTAGTTTATAAAGTACCCGACGCTTTCTCCTGGGTGTTACAAACTTCGTGGCGTACTAAGTCACCCTGTTTAGAGTATAAACAATTGATTTGTCCCGGTACTAAATATTTTGACTATTTACAATTGCTGTGTTTATTTGTACTCTCTTTTCAGAGAGATTTAATATTTATTAAGATTATATATTAGCATAAGTTGAATCGTTATGTGAAACAACTACAGTTGACACAGCGAGCTTTCAAAGTATCAAGAACCGCGCAGCGTCGAGCAAAGATCTTTGCTGCTGACAAACGTTTTGTTTATATCTGCCAGATCGACGAAAGATCAGCAGCAACAATTGAACAATCGACTGAACGACTGACTAGATGACTAAGCGACTGCCTGTCTGAGAGTTCGCGCAATGGCAATAGCAACAATAAAAGCTTTAGCAAACAGTTGAATACATAATAAACAAATTGAAAAGTTTCGCTACACGTACACGGCAGCTGCCAACGGAACGCTGAACTGAAAACGCTCAGTCGTGAATTGAATTACGTTATGAACGCACATAGCGTACTAAAGCGGTTTAGCATTTGAGAAGCGAGTTTCGAAAAACGGTTGCGTCTGTTGATATTCGAAATATTCCTCGTACGAAATAAATTGCGTAAATAAAAGTTGAGGTGTTGAAGGTTGAAACCGATGACTAAATTAGCGCAGATGTTGTTGATCTAAAGCAAATAACACAAAAAAAAAAACAAAAGTCTTAAGTCTGTTAGAAACCCAAGTGAGGAAAAATCAAAACGTGCAGTACTCGTATTTTCAAGTTCAGTGCAAACGAGTTGCCGAGGAAATAAATAAATTAGCATTAGCTAAGTGCTTCAACAATATTCTAGTCGTGCATTTACGTAAAAAAAATAACAACAATTCCAATACAGAATACAAAACGTTTGTAAATTGTGAAAACTAGAAAAGAATCTCAACGAAAAATTGCAAATTAAACCAAGAGCGCAGAAATATAAAGAAGCTGTAAGTGCTAAACAAAAACAAAATCAATAAACAAATAAATATTACTCAAAAAAGTAGTATACTTTACTTATATACATACATACATATGTTAATGAATTTAGTATATGACTATGTCGTTCAAATAAGGCACTATGAATGATGTATATAGTATTTAAAAATACAATAATGTAACAGTACTTTTAATCCTTTGGGTATCTGTGGCTCCAATAACAACCTTCTTGACTTACATAGCTCGGCAAACTTCCGAAAGCCCTACGTTGTAACTGAAAGAAGCCCAAAGATTTCCAATCCCGAAATTGTTCCATCTAAAAATAAAATGTTTGGAAATATTCATGCAATACCAGCTTCAGAGGTTACACCACTCTAGAACGTCGAAACATTTACTTTCAAGATGTTCTCCGAGAAAACAACGAAAAAATTCAAATTTTATTTAGGTTACTGCAATTAAGAAATAAATATGTATTTAAAAAATTTTCCTCTGAGATTGAAAACAGCATAATAGATGGACCGGTGCTTAACTTTAGGCTTGCCTGTAATGAGGTTCGTGGTCGGAACAGGATTTCTTAGGACTAGGTTGAAAAAAATATTTTGGCCAAAAAAGTGTGAAAATTTAAAAGTGTTTAGGAACTCCGGGCACGTAGCACGTGCCTCGGTTCGAAAAAAAATACATTTTCTATAATTCAGGCCCTAACGTACCATGATGTCCTTAAAATGGCATCGACCAATGACACATACATACATATGTATATTTGGTTTCGAAATATCCTTTCTAGAGCTCCTTTTTATTTTCTATGTTCTAATTAACCATCTGATTTTTTTTTAAATTATATCACAATAAAAAATAAGATATTAATATACATATAAACAATAAAAAAAGGTTACCTTCGATTACACCGAAGCAATAATACCCTTCACAGATACAAAAGGTTTCTTACAAGAAGTTCAGCCGATCGTTCAGTTTTCAAATCAATAACCAATGCCAAAACACTTGATTTCGACTATTCAGTTTGTATGAAAGCTATATGCTATAGTGCTCCGATATCGGCGGTTCCGACAAATGAGCAGCTTTTTGGGGAGAAAACGACGTGTGTAAAATTTTAGATCGATAACCCAAAAACTGCAGCACTGCGAGTTCGCAAATAAACAGACAGACGGACATGGCTAAGTCGACTCAGCTCATGCTGATCATTTACATATATAAACATTTTATAGGGAAAAGAAAAAACGCTGGCTCCGGCAGCTATATTGCCCTTCATAGGTGCATTTCTTATAGCAAAAAATGTTTTTACCTTAATTTTGATCGGTCAGTTTGTATGACAGGAAAATTTTCCGGAAATAGTAGGGATCCTACGCAAAAGTCTCCGACCAATATTAACTTGGCACTTCTGGAACTATACATTAATTAATCTGTCATTCAATCAACATAAGTTATAAAATTCAATATTAGACCAACTGCGCCGATTTTCATTTCATATGAAAACCAAAATATTCACTTAATCCTTATTTGAAGACACCTTGTTGAATATATAGAGCAATAATCGACAATTTGGTTGGAGAAGCTTAATATTAACCTTTGTCGTACTTTTTCCAAGAGTAAGGGTCAAAACATTTTTTTTTCTATGCCTTCAATTATTCTTGTTTATTCATTTGTAAATTCCAATGAGATGAAAGTATTCAACATAAATAGCACTTTGAAATATGAGTTTATTTGCTTATAAAGCAAAGGAAACATATACCAAGTCTCATGAAGTTATTACTCTTTATAATTAACGAATCACAGAGATGCAAAAAAATTTATTAGAACTAAATTGAAATGTTTGTAAAAGCGAAAGAAAAGGGAAAAAGATATTTTTTAAGTGACATAAAAGAAAAATCCGTAACAATAATTCGAAGAAAAGCAAAAGAAATTACTAAGTTTTAAACGACCTTTAAATAATAAACTTTTCTACTACACAATGGAAGATTTAAGAACTGGATATTGGAAAAATACAAATATTATTTAAGGCATTATAACCTGCCTACAGCGGCAATAACAAAAACCTTTGTATTGCTTTCTTATCTTTTGATCAACAGATAGCGACCTTTGTAAACAAAAACACTACCAGCGGTAATCAGCAACCTGCAGATCACTGATAAAGATCAATACGGATCCGCCAATTCACAGGCGCCGATAACAGAGAAAGCATCTTTTTATTGATTGCTGGTAAATTAAAGCATTTTTTTTTTTTTATTTCTAATGAATTTGTTAAATGCATATACATATAATATAAACATATAGGGTGTTATGTAAGTATACATATATATATATATATAAGCACATACATACGTACACGTTTATAAAAATATGTATGTATATATATTTGGTATGCGCTCAATGTCAATTGGTATGCATTTGCATGCCTCATCACCAAGATCATTGCATAAATGATCGAACAGCATTTTTAAGTGCAAATTCTCTATTTACAACAAACTATATACTCATATGAGCACTTATGTACATACATACATATGTAAATAGTGAATATTCGCGTTGCATTTATATGTAGTGAATATGTGAACCAAAGGCGATTTTTTCTATTGCTTTTTCTTGCTCTGAGATGAAATCGAAGTGATAAACGATCGCTCGGAAATTGAGTTAACAGGCGTACAGTAGTTGTAAGGAGGAGGCGCCACCTTAATTAAAAAAAAAAACACACACACAAAAAAATAACACGTAGCGCTACGTAGTATATAAATAAAATAAAATAACAACACAAACAAGTGAGCGCGATATTTTTCAATTTATTTACATTTTTTATATTTAAAACGAAACTTTGTATCTGCCTTTTTGTTTGTCACAATTGTTGTTGTTGCCTTTCGGTGTCTAATTTAAATACGCAAATAACAAAAGCAAGTAGCCAAACAGACAGCTGTGCATCGTACCCTGCCCGCGCCCTCCACCGACGGTCGGTCAATCAAGCGTACAACAACAGAAATGACGAACAGCGTACACATGTGGAAGGCACGCGACATACGCCAGCCAACCAATCGACAGTAACCCTAAACAACAGCAACAACGATAACTAACAGTAGCTACATATATTATTTGTGGGGTCTCTCATAAACACCTGTGTGAGTAGCTTAGCTGTCACAATGAATCGCCAATGTGGCTTTAGCGAACACCTTTCATATTAACTTCTAACTGCATTGAACGGATCTCAGTAATCGAAAGTGTTATTACTTGCAATGTATTTTTGGTTTACAACTATTTTTGTAAATATTTCTTTACTTGTGGAAGCAGATTTGCATACTGCACATACCAACTACATGTAGGTATATATACTATTTCAAAACAAAGCTCCAATGATTGTTCATTCATTTTTATCGTAACCTCACACTTATACAAACTATTTTGTTTACTTTTATGGTTTTAACTACGAAATATTTAATTAATTTCTGTTAGTGACAATAGAAAGTTTACAGTTAGCCAATATGGAATTTCATTTACGTAAATAATTTGCTTGCATGGAAGCGTCAAATTTGGGCTACCACTTAGATGTGATTAGGTTTACTTAGAGTTTTTTTTTAATTCCAAAAAATCGTTATTTCACTTTTATTTTTGCCGCATATTTAGATCGTTCATAAAACCAGCGAAAATATTTAAATACAGAAGATAATTAAATGTACACCCGTTAATTTATATGTATAAAACATCCAGCTAGAGAATACAATTACAATTACAATTACAATTTTGATTTTCTAATTTATTCGGCATTTAAAGTTTCAATTAAAATGGGGTTATGTATTTTTGTAGACGATTTTTTGTCCTATACACAAAACACAAAGTATAAGCTAAGTGCCAACAATTTCAACAGAACACCGCAATAAGCCACACAACGTGGGAATACCAAAAAATGTTCTTTTTAGTAGCCATCTAGGTCATATGATATGTCTAAATTACACTACTTCCTGTGGCGTCACGTAAATTGAATTCTATGCTGTAAACGCAGTTATATCTTGAACAGTTGTAAGCAAACACAAAAACAAGAAAAAACGTTAAAGTCGGTTGCACCGAAGCAATAATAACCTTTCAAGTTTCCATACAAGAACTTGTTTTTGAGCGATCAGTTTGTATGACAGCTATATGCTACAGTGATCCGACCTAAACAATTTCTTCCGAGATTGCACCGATGACTTGACGAATAACCAAATACCAAATTTCGTGAAGACATTTCGTCAGATTAAAAAGTTTTCCATACAAGCTTTTGAATCCGATCGCTTAGTTTGTATGGCAGCTATATGCTATAGTGATCCGATATCGGCGGTGCCAACACATGAAATGCTTCTGCAGGAGAAAAAAACGAATGCAAAATTTCAGATCGATATTGCAAAAACTGCGGGACTAGTTCGCGTATATAAAAACAAGCGTACAAACAGATAGACATTGCTAAATTGACAGCTCGTCATGCTGATCATTTATATGCATACATATATTTTTTATACTTAATATACCCCATTTAGGGTATAAAGAACCCAAAAGCATTGATTCAATTATTTTGAGCAATACATCTCCGGTAAAATAGTAACAATCATTAACGTCACCTGATTTTGCCTTAGCGAATGAAACTTAAACTCGTATATTCGTTCTATATCACAGACAATATTATGAGATAACTGTGTAAGACATCAAGCTCATTAAATTTATATCCGCAATTTAACAAAAATCTCTTTCACCACGCCAGCTACACACAGCGTAAGGTACTAAATTGATGTGGGAATCTAATCTTATCATAACTGCTTCATAATTCTAACAAATTGCAAAATGGAAAATGTTTTAAAGCAATTAGAAGCTGACACGACAATTCTCAAGTGAAAACACACTTTGTTAATGATACTTGTAAATAAAAAGTGTTTGGTTTTTTTATTTTATGATAATCACATTTTACTCGCTTATTCTCAGGGCCTTTAAGCCAATGGAACCAATGGCAAGAGTGTTCAATAAATTAGACATACATAAGTAA